ATTGTGGATCGTTTAAAGCCTGGCACCTTATGAAATTTTCCGATCATCGATGATCATCGGACATACCTAATTAAAATATTGGAAAAAAGGGTGAATTTTCTCTTTCTAAACTTTACCGAAGATTTCTTAACATCCATCTATCCCAATTCAATAATTTTTTTTTTATTTTAATTCTATGAATCTATAGAATTAAAAAAAAAATTTGATTGAGTTTGATAGGTAAGTTTTGAGTAATCTTTATTCAAAGTTAAAAAAAAACTATGCCGCAATTATTATTTTTTAGATACTTAAACTTTGAATGAAGATTACTCGATACTTACCTGATCAATTTTGATGAAAATTTTTTTATTTTAGTTCTATAATCAATAGAATTAAAATAAAAAAAAATTGGTCGAATTCTATGAGGTAAGTGTCGAGTAATCTTCGTTCAAAGTTTAAGAGTCTATAAAATAAAAACTGCAGCAAATTTCTTTTTTAACTTTGAATGAAGATTACTCGACACTTACCTCATCAAATTCTATCAAAATTTTTTATTTTAATTCTATAGATTCATAGAATTAAAATAAACCAATTTCTATCGAAACTGGATGAATGTTTGTTGAGAAAATTTGGTAAAAGTTAAACTAGTAAGTTTATTATAACTTTTCTTTTTTTAAAAAAATTTTTTTAAAAAATTTAAGTGAAGGTTTCTTGACACCTATCTATCCAAATTCGATTAAAAAAAAATTACTTTAATTCTATGAATCAATAGAATTAAAATAAAATATTTTGATTGGATTTGATCGGTAAGTGTTGAGTAATCTCCATTCAAAATTAAAAAAGAAATTTGCCGCAGCTTTCATTTTATAGATACTTAAACTTTGAATGAAGATTATTCGACACTTACCTCATCAAATTCGATCAATTTTTTATTTTATTTTATTTCTATTTTGTTTCATAGAACTAAATCAAAAAATTTTCGTCGAAATAATTAGGTAAGTGTCAAGTAATCTTCATTCAAAGTTTAAGTATCTATAAAATAATAACTGCGGCATATAGGGATGGGTTCGGTCGGTCACGGTTATCGGTCATTACCCTGTTAATATTAATATTAATATTAACCGCGATCGGTCATACGGTCAAATAACCGGTCATAGCCGGTAAATTATTTACAATTATTCAATCAAATATCCCAAGTAGGGATGGGACACTGCACAGACTGCCGAAAGAAAAACAAAACACTGTGATTTGCATCACATGATCAATAAAATCATCGTTCATAATTCTGGTCAAACTTACAGATCATTTGACCACATTTAAAGTTGTGTTTTAGATCTGGCCAAATGATCTGCGAATTTGACCAGAATTAGGCAGTTCGAAGTTGATTTTTCGGTTAACATCATCCTCCCCGGTAGGATTGTTAAATTACCGTAATTTTACGTAATTTTGCGTAATTTTGTGTAGGTTTTTGTAAAACGGTTACCATTTTATTAGTAAAAAGGTTTGAAACTCGCAAAATTACACAAAATTACATGAAAATGTAAAATTGTAATTTATGTAATACAACCCTACTCCCCGGTGGTCCCCTGGCCAAATGAACATATAAACAAATTATAGCCATCTAAAAACCAAATTCAATATAGTCTGTAAATGAAGAAATTGCCAAAAAAAGGTAGAATTATGCTAAGTATAAGGGTTGGGTACAAAAGAATAAGTTTTTTCAGTGTCTTCACAAGTTGCTTCATCCTTTTATTGCGGTATGTACTGGTGAAATGATTGCATTAATGTAACTCATACTAACCTAGCCAGTAATTCATTAAATTAGTTATCGTCTTTTGTGCCAATTTTCATCCATGAATTGCATATATCAGATATTCCTGTTGGTATCGAGTTCTCTTCTATTAGCATATTATTGTTGTGCGCTGGTGCATCACCACTTTAACTGCTTTTTTGATCTGTATAAACTCGAATAATTTTTAGTGCCGCAAAGCAATAATTCCATTACTATTTACTTTAATTAGATATGTATTCAATTACGAAAAAAAACCATAGATTCATAACTATGGCCAAAATTGCAGATCATTTTACCAGATTTAAAATTGGTTTGTTCTAGATCTGGCTAAATGATCTGCAAATTTAACCAGAATTATAAACGATGGGGTTTTCTATTAATATGATTTCATGCTGCAATAATTATTATTTATTAACCAGAAAAATAAAAATCTGGCATCGGTCATAATATTGACCAGTCGGTTAACCGCCCCTGACCAGTCAATATCAGTTACGATTATTGACCTGTCATGACCTGACCGAACCCATTACTATATGTAGACGTTATACGTTCTATCCTCCCTTCCTCTTTTGAAGAAAGGATGTAATGTAAACCACCAAATCAAGTTAGTCTCGCTTAATCTGAGACACAGCATATATATCTGTTGTTTTATTTGTGAAGATTTAGTTAAAGTTTAGAATTCGATTAACCAATAAAATTGCTATGCTGTGCATGCTGTGGTTGACTGGTGACAGTTTATAGTCACGTGATCCGCGAGAAGCATGCCTCGACCTAAGGACATGCTCTTATGGGCAGATTGTTTACCCGTGCCCCGAACTCTATGTACATTGCATTCACAATTTGATGACCAAAGCACATATAATGATTAATTAAAACAATCAATCTTACACATAGATCAATTTTAAAGGGGCTGTGCATGATAAGAATCATTTGTAAGATTTCCCTTTCCGTTACTCATATATTAGTACGTAATAAGATTGATGTTTGATTCACAGCAGATGAGCATGTACTACATAAAATCACTAATTTGATTAATTTACCGAGTTTTTTTTTTAGTTAACATTAACGTTAACGTTAATGTAAATTTAAGCAAATACAATAAAGGTAAAATGCGCCACCAATCTTTGAAACAAAGCATTACGAATCAAAAAGATCAGATATGAATTAACGATATAAATGTAGTACAAAGTTAGCATGTGATAAACTATGCATTGAAACGTGATAATGAGGAAATTGTCAAAATATTTGCATTAGATAGAATACATCCGTAGAACGATAGGTTTAATAGCATTTTAAACACCCTTGGCATTTGTAACCTTTGATATTTTGGATAAGTGTACTCGTAAAGTACATTAGTTATAATTATTACATCTAATTACTTGGAGTAATTACTTAAATTACTTGGAGCAATTACTTGGAGCAATTACTTAGAGTAATTACAAAATTATGTGCTTCATGCCTATTACCCAAGTCAAAAATTAAATTGAAAAACAAAAAGGCATGGATATTTTATGTTCACAAGTTATTGAAAGTAAATATTGCGAGTAAAAATGAAATAATTATTGACTAAGAAGAACGTCGCAAGAATATCGCATTAGCGCTGCAAAACAATTTTATAAAGAACAAAAGAGAATTAAAATAGAAACATGGTTCAGAATTTCGAAAATTCAGTTTTCCAAATTAAGCAACGTTTGTTTTATAGTTTTATAGTTTTATAGATTTGATCCAAAGATTATTAACGTTTCTATAACACTGTGGAACCCTGATGTTGTCATTTCGTCCTACGTACGTACGTACGTACATGCATATCAGATATCTGATATGCAATCGAATTGTTAGATGTAACGTACAACGCTGTGAACGTATCAAAACAGGTATAGATAAGAAGTGTACCGGTACGTTTTTAACATCTATAAAAAATTATAGTTTAAGAATATGCAAGTATAGTATTACTGCATTTGATAAATAAATTATCATCAGGGATAGCTTCTTTATTGAATGATTATAAATTAATAACTATTGGTTTAAACGAAAAAAACAAACCTCAATACATAATGAGATCTAGTATAGATATTGATACATACATACATACATATATATATATATATATATATATATATATATATATATATATATATATATATATATATATATATATATATATATTTATATAAGCAATTATCCGTTAATTATATTTGTAGTTATCATTGTTCATTGTTTGCCATTTATATAGCACTCCTTTTTTTTTACTTTTCATGGCAAACATACATATTTATTTATATATTTTTTAAACCGATTCTTGGTCGAAGCTTCTTAAACTATTACTCTACAAAAACATTATGATTAATGGTTTCTATCATTCCAATAACAAAGGAACAATTCGCCTCTATAAGTAGATCATGTGTTCCTCTAAATATCATTTCTCTTATTTCTACTATTACCTCATGCATAACCTTTGGGTTCATACGAATATACTATCCTACTCTCGCTGATCGAGTATCATTTCGTTTAAGTTTTACAGCTTTATTCTGCGATATAGGCTATTCTATTCATCTGTTAATTGTTTTATCTTGGGAGAATAGCCCCGGATTTATATGTGGATATACGGTAAGATGTTCATCATCATTTTCATCAATTTTCATCAAAATTTTCATCAATTTTCAACAGTGCTCATTAGCTTTTTTATTAATTTATAAGGTCTGGGCAATCGTATTTTTTGGTCTTTCTTCTTTATTCTTTATAGTTTGTATAGCTTTGGTATGTATTATAATATTTATTTTACTTTATTTTTACCGCGTTCTTTTTTTGTCACCTAATTGTCATCTTATATATATATATATATATATTTAATTTAGAACCTTCATATCATATTCATAAATGAATATAAATCTCGTTATAATTTTGAAAAATATTATTTTATATTTTCGTTTTCTCTTGCCCTTTTACTTTCACTCCTTCCTATGACCGCTAATATGTATGGTTTTGATGAGCCCGAAGAGTATGTATATAAAGTGTATATAAATATATGTATACCACATATTTATAACATATATATTTATACCATATATTTATACCATATATTTATGAGATATTTATTTCGTATATTCATATCTATTACAGAAGTTGTTGGTATCAAGATTCTGGTCAACATTATAATATAATATGGCAATGGACAACACTTTTTGGTTGGATAGATGTATCAATTTTATACTGCGCTATTGTTGTTATAATGGTCATTGTAAAGCTTAGATCTGTAACCAAAAAGATTGATGGTGCTTTCGGTTCAATACCAACTTCTCAGCTATCTAGTTATCCTACCTTACTTAATAAGACTTTAATTTCTTCTGTCGTTAGAAGGGTCGTGTGGTATCCTGTGGTGCCATTGGTAGCTCAATTTTGTAACTCTTTCTTTGAAACTTATGCATATGTTAATCATGTAGTCTCTTATCCTCTATTTTTACTTTGCTACATTGGTATGTCACTTCAAGGTATTAAAAAAATTTATTATCATTATTATTTTGATTATTATTTTGATTATTATTTTGATTATTATTATTAGTATTATTATCGTTTGCTTATTTAATCTTTATTACATCTTAGGATTACTAAACGCTTTGGTATTTTCTCAAGATATTGCTGTTACTCGTGCCTTTCAGTCCATTAAGCTACATTGGTGGATCACCAATGTTAATCGCTATGAATTTACCTATCCTCATCTATCATACAACAAAGCCATTATTGATGAATTCAGCATACCAGGAAAAACAAGTAGCCTTGTTGAATTGAAAATTTTAAATTGCAACAAGACTAATATCATTAAAAATGATATCAGTAATGATTATGATGATTTTATTAATGATGATGACGATATTAATAACAACAATAACAACAACAATAATAATATTCTTAATAACAACAATAACAACAACAATAATAATATTCTTAATAACAACAATAACAACAACAATAATAATATTCTTAAT